GGAGTTATCTGTATCTACAGCTTTCTCTCTCCCCAGTGTGTGTATCTGTAAATATCTATATCTACCATGAATATCTATACATGAATATACTGTACTTTCAATGTCTCTTGATTAGTTGCTAATGAACCGGCAACAGTGGTTGTTTCTAGAGAGGAAAACTAGGAGCCTGAAGATCAGAGGTCATAAAAACATTGATTATTTACTATATACCCATGTATAGTGTTTGAGTTTTAAAACTTTTAAAAACTTACTTTCACCATAACTAACACTGATTTAGCACATATCACATACCAGGTACTGTCCTAAGCATTTCCCTTGTATAAGCTCATTTAATCCGTACCACACCCTAGAAGTAGGAACTATTATTACGACCATTTTGCAGATGAGAAAACTGAGGTACAGAGAGGTGGTACCCTTAGTAAGTGGTTAAAAGCTGGCATCTGAGCCCAGGTAGAGAGGCTCCAAATACCTTATGCATGTCCTGCTTTTAAAGAATACTGAAGCCATCTCTGACCTTGAGGGTGAACCATGCTGGGTCCATGATTGCCAGCTGTGGTTCCCGGTGAGTCAGGGGTGGTGTGTTGGGTGGGGTTTGGAGGGAGGTGGGGGAGGTGAGAGCCTGAACCCAGTGCCCACTTCTCCCAGTTAGTAAAATAAGACGCTGGGGATTTCATTCTCTGACAGCCCTTGATCCCCATTATTCTATTGCTAATTTAAAAATATATAAATTAGATCTTGTTTTAAGCCTCCATTATGTTAGCATACCAAGGGGGAGAGATTAAGTGAGGGCCTCACCTGGGCTTAGATGGACGGATGGAAATTGAGCCCTCTCTCCCCACCGTTTTCCTCACCGCATTAAAGAAGCACATTGTGTTGTCTAAACCGGTCTGGGCTGCAGTGAGAATGGCCTTCCCTCCAAAGTCGCCGTCACCCCGAGTCAGGTTTGGCTCACAGGCCATCTGGCCGCAAACCCCACAGTACTCTCCTTATACTCAAAGCAGTGCTAATTGCCTTGTTAACAGAGTCCTCTCAAGGGAGTGACATTTAAGCAGAGGAATATCAGAGCGTGATTTCAAGAGAAGCGAGCTGATCCAGAAACTGATAGTATTTCCAGTAACCAAGTCTCAGGAGGCCCACAGAGCAAATAAAGAACATTTTAACTGTATCGTCAGGAGGATACGACTTGTCAAGGCAGATTTGCACACAGGGAAGGGGGCAGAGACCATTCCCGTCTAGACATCTGATTAGTGGGAAATGGTAGGATTATGAGAGTGCGGGGTCTGCTGGCTGCCGTTTCTCAGGGGGTCAGGCTTTCTGCGCCAGGTGCTGGGTGAGGGACACGTGCATCTCTCATAGAAGATGCTGACTGGACCTCATCCTTCCCCGGGGCTCCAGCTGCCCATCCCAGACCGGGAGACAGTGTTAGCAAGTTCAAATCTTCTGCGACTGGGCGGTGGGCGAGGCTTTCTGCGCCAGGTGCTGGGTGAGGGACACGTGCGTCTCTCATAGAAGATGCTGACTGGCCCTCATCCTTCCCGGGGCTACAGCTGCCCATCCCAGACCGGGAGATCGTGTTCGCAGGTTCAAATCTGCTGCAACTGGGCGGTGAGCGGTGGGCGGTGGACAGTGGGGAAGGGCCCGGGGCTGAGAAACGAGAGAATCCCGGCTGGAGCAGCAGTTCTGGGTCACCTCCTTCCTCCCCTTCATCTTCAACTTGCCTCTGACCATGCTGCTAGCCGGTCCCTCGGACTGGGGCCCTCTGTTCCACGTAAACAGCAGTCCCCCTTTGTCCCGTCACCGCCCAGGACACCCCAGAAACCACCGCACTGCCAGGGAGGGGTCGTGGACGGCGGGTGGGCAGACAGCGATGCTGGTTTGGGTTGTGATGCAGCCAGGTGGCCTGGGGTGCGTGGGGAGCGACTGCACAGGCCCGGACAACGGGCTCTGGAGGCCGCAAGCAGGTTCTGGACGGAAATGGACTCGGAGTCAGGAAACTTGAGGTCCTAGGGTCGGTTCTGCATCTGAAAAGCAAGGAAATTGATATTGCCGTCCCCGCCCTGGTCCCACCTGAGTGCTTTCTTCACCGTGCTGTCGGTCATCGCCGCCCCGCCCGGGCTGCGTGTTTTTGCCGGGACCTAAGACAGGGAAGAGCCGGGCACCACTATGAGACCCGTCAGAGCCCAGCTCCCTGTCAGGAGCAGGCGCTACAGCACACGCTGCAGTTGGGATTGAAGATACAAAGACTAATTACATCAGTTTGTGTCCGCCGAGGCAAAAAAACCCCCACTCTGGATTTAAAACAGGGACTGTATTCCAAGGCATTCGTTACACGTGTGACGGAAGAGGCCGAGAGGCCGAACGGGATGGTGAGACAATCCTGAAATCGCCAACAGCAGGAAGATGCTCCCACCAGAAGGCGGGAGAGACTAAGGGAGGAGATGGTACAGGAGCCATCACCAAAGCCAGCCTGTCCGGTGGGAGCGAGGGCCGGGGAGGAGCCACGGAGAAGACACCACCCAGGAGGGGAGAGAAGGCAGCAGAAATGTCTTAGACACTCCCCTTCCCCCCACCCGGCAACCTCCTCCTGGGATGCAGCCTGCAGGGCAGCCCTTTGCCACCTCGAGCAGAGGAGGGCAGGGCGAGCTGGGGCAGAGTAAGAGGGTCAGGCGTTCTGTCAAACATTCCTAGCATCCTGTGCTCTTCCCTCTGCCACAACCACAAAGCCACAGGGTGGAATATCTGTGGAATTATTAGTTTCGTATCTCTTCCACCTTCCCCCACCACACGCCCAGCCCTGCAACTCTGAGCTCCATGAGGGCAGGGATGGAGTCAGCCCTAGTCGTTGTTGTAGCCACAACACCCCGCACAGTTAGTGATTCATAGTTGATTCTTTAAAATATTTGTTAAAAATGATAGAGTGGCTGGCGTGGTTCAGTGGTTGAGTGTTAACCTATGAACCAGGAGGTCATGGCACATGCCCAAGTTGTAGGCTCAATCCCCAGTGTGGGGTGTGCAGGAGGCATCCGATCAATAATTCTCTCTCATCATTGATGTTTCTATCTCTCTCTCCCTCTCCCTTCCACTTTGAAATCAATTTAAAAAATGATAGAGTGATATTCACTGAGTGGCCAGATCATTATGACCGGCCAGATTATTATGACCACCCCATCAGTACTTCATTGACACTTCCAAAAATACTGAGTATTGAAAACTTCCTAAGCAAATACTCTCAAGGTTTTATTATTATTATTATTATTATTTGCATAACGAATTCACTTCATTGTACTGATGGGGTGGTCATAATAATCTGGCCGGTCATAATAATCTGGCTGGTCAGTGTATATCAATTTATTTAATCCTCCCAATAAGGTAGTTACTAGTATGTCCTCTTGTTGTGCACTTTCTCACAGGGGGTGAGATACAGGTACAGAGAGCTTAAGCAACTTGCCCAAGATTGCGCAACTAGCCGCTGGTGGGATTGGGAATTTTCTCACGCCAGAGAAAAAAGTAACTGAAGCAAAAGGAAATGTATTAAAGGCTATTGGGTGCGCACAGAGCTGATGGAAAGCCAGTAGAACCTGGCTCTACTGGCTTCAAGTCCCAGAAGGAAGCCATAGGCCTCGCTGGGACCCCCTGTGCCCTTTGATTTGTCCCTCCCTCCCCCTTAGAGCGTAGACCTCATCTACCGCCCCATCCTCTGTGCTGCTCTGCTGAGGCCTCCTGGCCTCCTGGCATTATGTTCCTCACCCAGGGCCATGGCCACACCAGAGCCCTTGCATGACCTTCCCCTTCCAGAGCCTCTCTCTCCACTGACGACCTCCCGTTGGCCGCACCGGCCCCTCTCCTTCTGCAGGGACTTTCTCAGTAAGGTCTCCCCAACCATCCTACCTAGAACCTTACCTCCCACTGGCCCTTGTTCTCCCCCTTCTCCTGAGGTGGACACATTGGTGCCCAACCCAGATTCCTTCCTGGCCTGGTGCACGCACCCCAAGCTGCCTGAATGCCGGCTGCACATGTCTCCTGGTGCCCCGCTTCTCTGGAGAACTCCCCTGGACTGACAGGCACCTTGGTCGGGAAGCTGCAGTGCCTCTTTCTCACCGATTCCAGTGCAGCCCGCGTTCCATGACTGAGGATGGGGGACACAAAGCCGCGAGGTGGGGGCAGTTCTGCAGTGGATGCTCCAGGCTCTTGTGGATCAACCTGCGATCACATTCTAACTTCACAGTTTTCATTCACCACCTGCTTCCTTCACTGCCTTTCATCTAAGAGCTTCTCCCCCCAAAAACCCACCTGTACCAAATCCCTGTCTCAGGTCCTGCTTCTAGAGAACCCCACCTAAGACTTTCCTGTTCTTTTCCCTTCTTTTTTCACTCTGTCTGCCTTGTCCACAGCTGCATCCTCAGTAGCTGGAACAGTGTAGTAGGTGTGTAGTAGGTGCTCAGTAAACTTGGGTTGAAAGAATGAATGAGCCCTTGCCTTTATGAGTCCCAGGATTTGCACATATCCTGACCTTATTGATCAGGCTGTGAGTCTCAGAAACTGCCAACACCCACATCTCTGCCCACCTTCCCATCTGTTTCCCATCTGTTTTCTCCAGCCTGTCCAAGTTCCCAGTGACCTACTCTTCCCTATCTTGGGTGACTTCCCAGTAACCCAGATCCCTTGTTTGTTTATCCAAAGGCATTTCTCAGCTCCTCTTGGGACTACCTTCCTCCCACCGTTTGCCCACTCCAGTCTCAGTCACATGATTAGGCAAGCAAGAGAAATCTATTCATCTGCATCCAGGATAATTTGAAAACCAGGTAGATGAGGTAAGAGGTAGAAGGCATCCAGCTGTGGCTGTTCTTCCTTGTTGGGGAGAGCGATGGAATATGTGATAGAGATGGGAATGGCCACGGGCAAGGGGAAAAGCTCCTTTTTTCAGAGTTGAAACCCTGCCAAAGCAAGCTGAGAGCCATTGCCTAACTCATTCTAAAGGTTAGTTCTGGAACAATTTAACTGGGGGTGTCTTAGGCTTGTGGTCTAACAAGGCTGTACTGTTATCAGCCAGGAGTGACTAAAGGGCTGGAGATATGGACTCAGACCATCCAGGTGGGACTCAGATCCTGAAGTTCTGAAGTTAGTCGCCAGCAGTTCTCCAGAGAAGCGGGACCTCCAGGAGCCATGGGCAACAAGTTCACAGCAGCTTGGGGTGGGTGCACTGCCAGGAGGTACCTAAAGGAAGTGAGGGAGCTGGTGGGGGTTAAGGGTGAGGGAGGGTGAGCAGGTGGGGGAGAGTTTGAGGAAGAGGAATGCTGATGCCAGGGCTCTGCCGTGGTAGTGGTCCCAGTGCTAAAGGCAAAGCAAGGAGGCTGGAGCAGAGGACTGTGGGAGTGGGAGCAGAAGATGAGGTCATGGGGGTGGGAGGAGAAGATGAGGTCATGGGGGTGGGAGCAGAAGATGAGGTCTGCCCTGTCATGGGGAGGGAGAGGGGCAATCATAGGGACACTTGTGGATCCTAGCAAGGCCTATGGCTTTCTTCTGTGGGTATAAAAGCCACTGGAGTGTTTTGAGCAGAGGATTGGCATGATCTCACTTTTATTTTAACAAATTCATTCTGGTTGCCGTGTTGAGAGTAAACAAAGGGGCCAAGAGTGGAAGCTGAGAGGCCAATTAGGAAATTGTTGCAATCACTCAAGTGAGAGAAGAATGACTTAAACCAAGGTAGTGGCAGTGAGGGTGGAGAGAGTGGTCAAATTCTGGAAATAGTAAAAGTGGAAGTAAATAGTAAATAGTGGAAGTCGAACCAATGGGACTTTCTGAGCTGGAGAAGCTGTGGGCAGGGCATTTTTCAAGGGTATGACCAGAAGTTCAGTGTGGCCATGTTGAGTTCGTGATGTCCATCGGACACCCAGGTGGAACTGTCAAGTGAGGAGGCAGCTGGATATGAATGTGGGAAATGTAGTGAAAAGATGTCACTCAAAGCTATGGTAACAGGGAGTGAGTAGAGATAAGAAAGAGAGAGAGAGAGAGAGAGAGAGAGAGAGAGAGAGATCGCAAAGCACCCACTGGACATCAGGTGTCTCCCTCATGCCCCGGGCAGACCCACTGTTATGTCCCCAGCACACTTCCCTGTGCGTGTCACTAACTCAGAAGCCCTACCCTTGGAGCATTCGGTTATGAGTCAGAAGCATAAATGCAGAGATCTTCAAATCTAAGCAATACATCCAAAACCTCCAGTTTCAAGAGAGATAAAGCAGGGGGCTGATAGCTGATAATAGGTTTTGTAAATGAGTCACCACAGACCTGCTATTAATCAAGCTTCACGCACAGCCCCCTCTTGCATTTCAAACAGGATCCTGTCTGTAAAAATACAGCACCTCCTTTTTATCAGTGCGTCTGTTGTTTAAAGGGTGTAGCTACTCTGAGGTCATCTGCTCAGATCACCCCTTGAGGGTGTCACTTGCCAAGCTGCCATCAAGGACAGAGCAGGGAGGGAGGAGCCCCCTCCTGCCTCTGCCTCCCCCCACTCCCCTCCCATGTGCGACTCCAGCCTATCACTAAAGCCCCTCTCTGGTCCCTGCAGGCGGAGGCACACCATCCAACGAAGTCACTAAAGAAAAGAAGTGCCTTTTCAAAACGTATTCCAACTTGGAGACCTTTGCAAAAGCACCTGGGCCGTGATAGGAAGAACACTGGGTCAAGGGGCCCTCCGTTCATGTTCCGCAGTGAACCAGTGGGATGACTTGGGGAGTGTGTTTAACCTGCTTGTACCTTGGCCCCTCATGTGTGAAATGGGGACCTGACTACCCCATGAGGTTGTTCTGAGGATTAAAGGAATTGAAATGCGTGAAGTACAAAGAAAAATGTCTGTCACAAATTATTAGATTTTATTTTTTGTTATGTTAATAGTAATTTAGATCTTAGTTGCTATTATTATTATGTTGATTTAAGATCATTGAAACTATAGAAAAATTGTTTTTGTTAAGCCTCATCCAAGGATATTTTTTCCATTGATTTTTTTATTTCACCCGAGCATGCTGGGGCATCCATTGATTTTTTAGAGAAAGAGTGGAAGGGAGGGGGAGAGACAGAGATAGAGAAACATCAATGCGAGAGAGACACATAGATTGGTTGCCTCCTGCACGCACCCGGACCAGGGCCAAGGATGGAGCCTGCAACCGAGGTACATGCCCTTGATTGGAATTGAACCCTTGACCCTTCGGTCCACAGGCCAATGCTTTAACCACTGAGCAACCGGCTAGGGCCTAACTGTAGAAAATTTTTAGAAGCGTTTGAGTTTATTTGAGGCAAACAGGACATCCTGGAAGCAAGATCGCAACAGACAGAGAAATGCTTCCCAGAACAACAGTTTGCCGTCTGTTTTGTGCATTTGGAATCAAGGAGGGAACTCGAGGAAGATTAAACGAAGGTGAGAGGAAGCAAGGCCAGGACTGGATTAGAGGACAGTTAACAAGGTGATGTGCTCTCAGATTACGCCTGTCAAAGGTGTGCTAACCTAGATGCAGAAACAGTGGACAGGGCTTGCTTAATGTAAGACAAACCTTTCGCTAACGAAGTTATATGCCTGGGGTGTGGCTACACACCGTGACCTGCCCAGGTAGGAATTTATGATCAGATCACCCTGGGAAGTTACTTTCAGTCCCTGGACTTGTCTTATTTGTTACAGAGCCCTTTCCTTCACGATTGAATGGACGCTGCGCCAATTCACTTTGTGTCCTTGGGCAAGTCGGCTCACTCCTCAACGCCCTTGGCTTCCTGGGCTCCCAGGGGCTCCTGTGCCCCACAGCAGTTGGTGAGCAGCACTCCACGCCTGGAAGGGCCCAGCTGCACAGTCGGTGGGCGTAGTGACTGATGAGGCAGGAAACATGAGGGCACATCAGCAGGGACTGTCTGCGTGGGATGTGAGGGAGGGGAACCGGCAGGTTGCAGCGGCACCTCCTGCTCCCTGTCGCCCTTTCCCACTGAGGAACAGTGTCTCCCCCACCCCACCCCCACCCCTCACCACCACCACACACACTTCTTTCTTGCACCCCGGATCCCTGGAAGAGCTGTACAGAGTGCTCTGAACAGCCTATCCCGGGATTGTTTCTATCTGCAGTTCCAGAAAACAATCACGTTTCATCAATTTCTTCCAGGAAACAGTTTCCATAATAAACAAAAAGGCCCAAAGTTCTGAGAAAGAGACTCTCTGTTTACAACATTTGCAAGGTCTTGCTTATGTTTTACTTTCCATTCCTGATGACTGTTTTGGCACTCCGTGTCCTGTGGCATGCAAATGCTTACCTGACACTGGATGCACCTTGCCAAGTGGGAGGGCATCGCTCGTGGGCAGCCCACAGGAATCAACACGGGAGGAGGGAGGAGGAGGAAGGAGAGTCCTGGGCTAAGGGCCAGGAGCAGACCCAACAGAGGCATCGTGCACCTGGGCAAGCTAATCATTTGGCCTCTGGCTTGATTAGCAATAGTATTTAGTTGCTAATATCAGAGACCTAACTGTGTTACCTTCAACATGAGGCGTATTCCTCTCTCACCTAAAAGAAGTCTACCCGGCTTCTATAGTGGCTCCACAAACGTACTAGGGACCCGACTCCTTGTAGCTTTGTGCTCCACCATCCTGTCATTGCTTTCACCCTCCGAGTTTGCCTCATGATCCGCCGTGGCTGCTGGGAGTTCCAGCCATTCCATTCACATTCCAGGCAACAGGAGGGGGAACCAAGGAAGGGCAAAAAGAGTATGCACACCCTCTGCCTTCTCAGAGCCTTCTCAGCAGCCCCATACGGATACTCTGCTTGCCTTTAACTGACTGCAGAGGAGGCTGTTACTTACGGAGACACTGACAGCAGTTTGAGGAAAAGGGAAGAATGAGGACTGTTAGTAGCTGCACAGCCTCCGTTTTACTGTCCTGAGCAATTCTGCCCTGCCCCAAACTCGCACACCCACTGGCAACCAGTACACTCTCCTACAGAGGAATGCTAGTAAGAGAGTTTGCTCCATGTTGGTACATTTCCAAGGATGTTAACCATCTTTGCACTGAGGAATCCCTCTTCCTGGGAGAGTAAGTCACTGGGCTTTACTTCTCTTTGGCTCCTGATGGCACGAAGCAGACCCCTAATGACCATCAAGACCCATCAAGAGCGAGGAAAGTAATAGATAGGAATCACCCCGCAGATACCTCGAGTCCCTGGAAGAAGGGGGTTCTTGGGGAGCCTCAGGAATCGTGCGCTCCTGGGAGGGTGTAGGGCGGCTCAGCCATCTGGAGGTGGCCTCGAGAGAACGTGGTGGTGGGTTGGCGAAGGGATTCAAACATGATGGTGGGTCTGTGTCCTCAGCAGCTCTAGATGCTAATGTGTCCTGGGGCTGGACAACACGGGGGACAGGGCAGGCCCTGTGGCCAAAGCCTGCCCTCCACCTGTGGCCAGGACACCAGGTCAGAGGCCAGCGCTGCAGGAGAAGGCAGGGCGGGTAGATGCTGAGCTTCGTCTGGGCTGGGTGTGTTTGAAGGGCCTGTGGAGATAACCAGGAGTTGTCCACGATGTCATTCTCGGGCGCAGGAAAATGACGCGTACCTGTGTCTTCTCACAGCCGCTCCCCTCAGTGACGCATACCTGTGTCTTCTCACAGCCGCTCCCCTCAGTGGCGTGCATAAACCAGGGCTAGGCTGGGCTGCGTGAGGCGGGCCCCGAGGCTCCTGCCTGCTCCCACATTCTCTGTGCCACAAACCAGCTTCCCCCGCACCCTCCCCGCCTCGTCCCAGGGCTGGGCCCATGCAGGGCAGGGGGCAGAGCACGAGGGAGTCTATCCAAGGGGCCCAGCCTCACCCAGCTCATCGAATTCTTGTAATCAGTTTAGTTACACAGCAAAATTCAGATCAGAGTGAGGATTAGCAGAGGAAGCTTGTGAACGGGGCTTTGAACTTCCCAGATGAAAGCCTCCTCCCCCATTCACACAAAGAAAGCCCGAGAGATTAGACCGTGACATGAACACATTGCCACCCCTGGCCTCGCCTGACGCAGCCCAGCGGGCTGGGTGATCAGTTGGCATCCCCAACTGCCTTCCCCAACATGGCATTCCACCCAGGTCTCCCGGAGGGGGGAATGGATTCTGTCCTCAGCCTGCTGCTCCTGGAATGGCAAGCATTCGGGGGGAGGGGGTGGGGGGACAGCCCCCAGGCCTGCAGCCTGGGCAGCAGAGTAGAGGGACATTCACTTCCCCACCATCTCTCCCTTGAAGAGAAAGAAGAGGGGCCGGCTGGCCTGCTGCTGGCGGTTATTGTTCCCAGATGGAGACTGTCAGACCCTGTCAGCCTCAGAGGCACACGGAGCGCTGCATCCGCATTCCTGGGATGTGTAGCTGCCCGGCCTCACCTTCTGCGGCCCTCAGTTCAATAACATGTCAAGTCCCTTCAGTCTCACTCAGAGCGAAAGCCCTCTCACCCACTCAGCCTGTGCATTTGGAGCACACGTGCACCGTGGCTGTCTAAATATTTAAGCCGGGCTGCAGGGAGGCGTCGTTAGCCGCAACTGATTACACTGAGCTGTTTGGGCCCAGTGGGTCTCACCTGCTAGTTCCATGATGAGCTGTGAAAGCCAGGAGCGTTGCCTGCGCTCCCTGGGCCTTAGGCCTGGTGATGGCGGATGCTGTCCAGGGACGTGGCCGCCTGGGGTGCCTGGGGGAAGGAGCATGACAGCTTGGCTGACTGCTCTTTGGTTTGGGGCCTGGCTGCTGGCACCACAAAGGTCTTGCCAGGGACTGCTGGAGGGGTCCTGTGCCCTTCGTTCCCCACTCGATGCATCCTTGTCCTCGATGGAAAAGGAAGCCCTCACACAGCCCCCTGCACCTGGTCCTGGCATAGCCTCTCTGAGTGGTGGTGCTGCTCCCACTGCACAGCCGTTCCACCGTGAGTCTACTCTCTCTGACTCATCTGAAACCACTGAGGCTCCTGTTGGAACTGCACTGAGTCTCAGGCCACAAGGGTGCCTGTGGGGACAGGCGAGGATACCTGCGGCCCAGGGATGGTGAGTGATTTGCTCAGGATCACACCGGAGTTGGTGGTGAGACGGAATCTGTAATCCCAGACCTCTGACCTTCCTTCTTTCATGGGTTGAGTTGTGTCCCCAAAAAGAGCTGTCGGAGTCCTCATCCTTGGTGCATGTAAATGCAACCTTATTTGGAAACAGAATCTTGGCAGATGCAATCAGGTTGAGATGAGGTCATTAGGGTGGACCCTACTCCAATGTGGCTGGTTGCCTATAAGAGGAGAGAAGTGTGGGCAAAGACACACACACACACACACACACACACACACACACACACACACACACACGGTGGGAACATCCATGTGAAGAGAAGGCGGAGACTAGAGTTCCACCATCACAAGCCAAGGGGCACCTGGATGCAGCCACCAGAAGCTGGAGGAGGCAAGGAGGGGTCCCCCTCAGAGCCTCAGGGGGAGCATGGCCCTGCCAACACCTTGACTTCAGACTTCCAAGCTCCAGAACTGTGAGAGGATAAATTTCTGTTGTTTTTGGGCATCCAGTTCACACAGCAGCCCTAGGAAACCAGCACTCCATCCAATAGCATCTCTTATGCAAGAACTGGATAAAATCTGAATGAAGATGCAGTTTTGTAGAAGCAATAAGAAATGACTCCTTATGGGTTTGGGACATTACAATCCTACCAGGTTACTCTGGCCGGTGTGGTTGAGCATCCTCCCATGCACCGAGAGGTTACCAGTTCAATTCCTGGTCAGAGAACAAACATATCCAGGTTTGGGGCTCAATCCCCAGTAGGGGGTGTGCAAGAGGCAGTTGATCAATGTTTCTCTCGATGTTTCTCTC